CCCAACCTTATGTAGTCTGTCCTGAAAACACTCCTCCCTCTTTACCTGAGGATCCTGGCTGGTGTGTTCCTTTTCTGCATCCCCCCACCCCCCATCCCTGTCTCCTTCGTGTTTCATGGTCATTTTACACCCCCTCAGCTCTCTCCACCTTGAGGCAACCTCCGTCTAGGTGCTAGGCTCACAGTGGGAAGAGATTGAGAAGAATTTCAGATTACAAAAACCCCCCAAAACCAAAACTGAAACATCATCCAAAGGGCAGCATTTAGCCAAGGACCAAGTTCAGAGGGTTAGGAAAATAGGAGGCAGGGAAACAGGAAGCACGGGGAGGAAGTGAGATAAGGGAGGGTACCTTGAGGGGATTGTAAGGGATGAGCGGAATCAGAATGTGTATGAATTGTTGACTACAAAGCTGTGATCTGCTCTGTGAACTTTCACCTAACTCATGATTAAAAAGTTTTTCTGAAAGGAACAAAAGCTATTATAAAAGTGCTGCACAGGGCAGGGAAGGACGTGTGGTAGTGGGTGGGGCTCACCCCTTTCCACCCTGTGTTCAACTCACTCTGGTAGCTTCGGATTGGCAGTGCTGGGAGCGTTGCCCACATGGGAATCAACAAATGCTCCCAACCCGGCTCCCCTAGGGCAAGGAATGAATGACCAGGAATGAGACGAAGCAAGACATGTATGAATTATTCAATGTGAAACCGATTTTCTGGCCTGTATCCCTTCGGCTAATTCACAATAAAAAGTTGACAGAAAGGATTCCAATGCGGTTGGAATGGGGTGGGGGAGGATTCAAGCATCATCACCATGCGAGTGAAGTGGAACGAGAATATCTCCTAGCGGGAGATTGCTGTAGACGTTCCTAAACTTTGAGTTTTTCCTTTCAACTAGTCTGAAGAAATACTTGTGGTCTGAGAAAGAGGAAATTCCTGCTATGTCTGAATTTAATAGCATCTTTTCCTCTTTTTGCTCAGGAGGAAGGGGATGGAGACTAAGGGTTGGTCATGTTTATCTAGCTTGGAAAGCAATGCCACGTGGCTTGGTAGGGTTCCCCAGTCTACATTCATCCTCAACTCACTCCAAAGCACAGGCAGTTCTGCTGTCTCTTTGGAGAGGAGAATGACCTTGCGGAAAAAGATGTCCACTCTTTAGTCTATGGATCTAAGCATGTGCCGGTCGCACAGGGGTGGCTGCAGTCCGCAGGTGGTGATGCTCAAACGGAGTGTAAGACAGTAGGAGCAGTGTGTTGGTGTCTGAGAGTGCTGAAACAGGAGCCTGCAGCAGCACCTAAAGAGGCCAAGTGACTTATCCAAGGTTGCTCAACTGGAACCTCAACTCGGGCCCTAAGAACCAGGGACTTTTCCGCCTTGCTTGCATCCCACGTACATACATCCTGTGCCGGTAGTAGGCATTTGTCTCTAATACAGCCAGTGTACTTTTGAACGAATATATTTTCATTTCCTTTCATTGACAATTACAATAGATTTATTATTCACCCCCCTCCCCGGCCTTTGTTTTAAAGATCTCACCAGGGCTGTGCACGACATAACAACAGCAAAACCACGACAAAAAGACCTCCCCACGAACGTTCTAAGGAGAAAGAAGATTATAGCTAAAGATCCAGCAGGAGAAACTCTGGGATATGCACCATTTCGCAGCCTGGATGACACAAAGCAGGTGCAGGTGCTCCAAGAAGATGATGAAATGAAGCTTAAATCAGTGGCTGAGGGAGCAAGTCCCCCGATACAAGAAGGGGCTCCCGAGGACGTGCCTAACGGAGGACAGATGAGCAAAGCCTTTGGAAAACTCTGCAAGATGGTCACGGAGAGGGTGAAAAGCCCCAGAGAGCCCGAACCTACAGCTGGATGTCACACCAAAGGGCTGTATGTGCTGGTCACAGGGGACACCAGTTATATAGATCCTGGCTTCTGTCCCTTCCCCATCGTGGCCAGAGGTGAGGTGATTGTTTCCACTGAGGAAGACTCTATGCATCCCGAAAGCCCTGTGAATTCAGCTTCTGAGCAGCCCAAGTCCCCTTTGGGGAACGGACAGGGGGACCTTCAGGGTATGGTGCCTGGGCATTCTGCCATCGAGCACAACATAGACGAGGAGAAAGAGATAAGTGTTAAAGAGCAGGGAGGGCCCGGGGAGAAACCCGCTGACAGGAAAGAGGACAAGGTGGCTGAAAAATCTTGTCTTGTGGTCCTTCCTGGTCCCAAGGAACCAGTTACAACCCCATCTCAAAAGCCTGCCGCCATCCAGGATAGCTCTGAGGGTCCTGGAGCTGGAAGCAGCGACTTACAGGGAAAAAGCCCTGCGGAAGCCTTGTCATATGAGAAGGTGGAAGTAGTGGAATCCATTGAGAAAGTATCAGCTGAGATAATTGAAACATATGAAGAAACTGCTATCATTGTGGAAACCACAATTGGAAAGACAAAGGCAAACAAGAAGAAACTGTGAGAAAAAGACAATCTTAAAATGGCCTGGCTTAAATGGAGGAAACACCTTTGGGATAGGGCAATGCTTTGTACTATTATTATTATTTTTAACAGCAAATGCTAAAAGAGTGAGGGTTCTGTTTGTATGAGACCCTGGTTGACCCATCTGGCATTGCCAAGGAAGCCTTGATTAACAGTGGAGTTTTTTTTTTGCCTGCACCATACTTTGTCTAATGCAAGGGGCCTTGGGAATGTCAGTGGGTCAGCCGCACTTAGACAAAGGCGGGACGACTATTTTCACTAGCATGCTTTGTTTAGCTGCCACCAGACCCCACTTGTTTAGGACAGAAATTTGATCTTCATGGTCCACTCAGAGAAGCATTAGAGACTCAGATAGTGTGTGTCTGAATTTGGTACATACACACACACACACACACACACACACACACACGCACACACGCACACACACGTTGGTGACATTTAGCTTATTTTCATTGCATTTCAAGCACAAGAGCATGCTCATGATGGTTGATTATTTTGTTAGAGAGTCTGGGTTCCTCAGAGGAAGACCCTGACACAAGTATTTGGATGTAAGTAGTTCCTCTGGGATGGGCTTCTAGGAAGCACCAGTAAGGGAATGGAGAAGTGGGACAAGAAAAGCAAGATGGGCAGTTGAAGGTGTTCATGACACTGTGGGCTACGGAGAACCGGGGTGAAGTGCCTCAGACTCAGCGTAGTTGGGAAGCGAGGGAGCCTCTGGAGTGTTTCTGCAGCAACTCCTGTCAGGAGCCAAGGAGTGTTCACTCTGCTACTTTGGCCTCCCACAAGAGCCAGAAGAATAGCGTGGGGCTATCATGCGCCCACGGCCACTGTTGCCAGGCTTTTCTTCCTTGGAGAAAGCTAGCAAGTTTCGCCCAAGCCCTTTGCTGTCGCCAACACAGAGAGCCCCCCACACAAGATGGGAACCAGGAGAGTAAGGAAGATTTACTCAGCAAAGTGCAGTAAGCAAAGTACACTTCAATCATGAAGAGGATCCCTCTTGATGTGGGCAGACCCTGTCTAGGGGTGTAACATTAGATCTTATGGGGGTTGGATGGTGGGAGCCCATTGGTTCCCCTCAGCCATTATTTTGGTTTCCCATTGGCCTTTATCTTTGCATCTTGATTGTTCTGAAGAGCAGCAGCCTGATTGGCTTTTATTCCAGTACAATGAGTGGCCTTGTAATCCACAGTTTGTGTACCTCCTTATCACGTGAGGCTGGTTGGGATGAGTCATTCAGACGTCTGGTGCAATGGGAGTTTCTGGTTCTAGCCGACCCTGACAGGCTAAGAAAACCTGAAATCCAAGAAGTATTGATACTGGCATTTGGAAGTCAGTTCAGCATACCTGGAAGTCAGGAGGACAGCTGGGCAGGGTACCGATGCTGTCTGCCACAGCCTACAATAATGAACACACTTTGTTGCTGTTGTTAATAGCTTCTTTGAGATGTGACTGAATTTAATCTATTCAATTTACCCATTTAAAGTTTACAATTCAATGGTTTTTAGTGTGTTCACAAAGTTGTGCAACCATCACCACAATCAATTTTAGAACACGCTTCCTACCTTGCAAAAAAAGCCTGCATCCTTTAGCTACCACCTTCCAGCCTTCCCCCAAGCCATTCCATAGTAAATCTACATCTGCTTAAGAAAATTTTCACTGAGATTGCCATTGTAGGTTTGTAAATTAATTAGTCTAATAAACATTCATCGAGCATACTATGTGCCCATAAGGGGAGATGTTTCAGCTGCATTCGTACTATACTCGGAATATAGCCTGGCCACACGTGTATGCGTATACTTCCTTACATGCATATCTGACAGACAGGAGATAGAGAGCACAGAAGCAGACAGGACCGCATGGCCCTCACACACATGCAGGTAACCCTGGCAGTGGCAGGATCTGGAAGAGGTGATTTTGACAACCTATGATAATTTAAAATCTTAAGTCAGCAGGCACCAGACCCCTAGGCTGACTTTAAACTCCAAAGTGAGCAA